CCTCGATGACGACATGAAGCGACATCGCGGCATGAAATCTTAAAGATAAAACCTTAGAAATGATCTTTTGAGTGTATATATATGATCTTTCGCGTGTATATGGTTATATTTTGAAGTTATGATGATATTCGAGTGTATATGCAACACCCAACATTATATATATATATATTTTTTAATAAATATAACTATTTATTTAATTTATTTTATTTTATTTTAATGAAAAAAAATGGTAAAAAATTAGTTAAGGATTAAATTGAAAATAATTTTGGGAAGAAGGGGTGAAAATTTGGGTTCTGGGGGTATTTTTGAAAGAAAAATCAGAAACCGGATGTCAAAACGCAATTTAAAAAATTTGCACCACTCAGATGCCCAGTCAGCAGCCCCAACCAATCAGGACGCGCCAAGTGGTAGAGGCACTAGCACAGGAGGCCACGCGGGGGGGAGTCATGTGGGCGATTCGCGTGCGCGTGATCGAACGGTTGAGATCCGTTCTCGCGTGCACGGACAGTCCAAATTGAATCGTGCACGGACGGCCCAGATTGAATCGCACATGGACGACCCAGATTGAATTGTGCACGGACGGCTTAGATTGAATCGTGATGAACGACTCAGATTTACTCCCTATTTAATCGCGATCGGACGATTCAGATTAAAAGCGATGGACAGCCTAGATCAAAAGCGGATGGGTATAAATAATCTCATCCACACCCAAATCCAAACCCTAGCTGCCAGAACCCCTCGCCGGAGAAGACAGCCCAGTCGCTAGGGAGCCGACCTCTGCCACCCGCCGCCACACTGCAACTTTTTCTGACCGTCAAAAAAGGTAAAAATTTTCTCTCTCGCACGAAATTTAATTTTAAACCCACCCATAGCCAAATCGGAGTGAAAGAAATGGTCAATTGGCCGAAAAATGTTGCCGTGAAAAATTTCACAAACCGCCTCCAATGAGGCCCTTCTCAATTCCTGTTTCGCGTAATTTTTTCACCGTTGTGATCACCATTTTCTTCTCTATAGGTTGATCGGAGCAAAACACTTAACCGCAACGTGAGCCAGAGGAGCCACCGCATTGGAGAGCCCTGCCACCGGTAAGTTTCAATTTTTTATATTTTTTGGGCCAACCAAGTTCTTTAAGTATGTTTTCTCGCCGAAACTAATGCAAATTTGGCTGAATTCGGCCAAAAATGGCTGAAAACAGCCAACTCGATGTGGATCACCGCCGCAAGTGGCGTCGCTGGAGCACGACGGAGCCGTCTGCTGGATTTCTGAAATTGGCCGAGCAAACCCTGGAACTTATTTTTGTTTTTATTTGGGACATTTGTAGGTACCGTAAGCGCATTTCAGTTCCCGAAGAAAAATTTAGGGAACCTAGGAACTGCCCTTAGGCGCAGTAAATCATTTAGCTTTTCTGTGTCAAATCAAGTAAGGACCCCTTACCATATTTTCTATCATGGAATTGAAGTTTGAATAAATGATAATACTATATTTTGTACAAATTAAATAGATGTGCATAATTAATTACGGATTGCTAATTGAGCACAAACTGGACATTGTTCTATGTTGATTTCTGTTGATTGATCTTGCAGTTTAAAAGTATGATGGTTTCTGGTTTATCTATTTTATGGTTTAAATGCATGTATTATTGCTTTACTTGACCACTATTTGATTTTGGGATATAAGATATGATTGCATTGCCGGATACATGTTTATTTGTTTATGTAATTATGTTTGATTTGGTAACGGAGACTAAGGAAAAACAGGAAAAATGTGTGATCTAATAAACAGATAAGAAGACAGTCTCACTAGATATCCTAAAAAATAGTGGACGGACCGGGTTCATAGGGAACCCTACCATGAACGTTGTCTCATACCTGACAGGGTATAGGGACTTGGTAATTTAGTGCTCGTACCGGATGGGATATAAGGACAGCCCACTTCACCCTAATATCGGATGAGATATTGAGGTTTAATATCTTGGTGCTCATACCGGACGGGGTATAGGGTCGACTATGTAATTAAGACTGTTAAGGAAAAAGGGTTCACGTATAGTGGAGACACCCTTATGGATCCCCATGGATACTAGTAGCCTGGTGAAACGAGAAATGATTATGATTTAGTTTATTGTTAATGAATGTGAATTTATGATATATTCTATGTTGTTGATTGTACATGAAGTTATGATTTATATGATATTATTGCTTCTATAATTTATTTTCATAAATTCCTCAATGGTAAGTAAAAAGGTAAGTGGTTTTATTTTTAATAAATGTATTAGTTTAAAATTAGTGCTCCATCGGTTGTTTTTGATTTTCTATCAACCTTTGCTTCTGTGTCGGTGATATAATGTGATGTCCTTACTGGGCTAGTATAGCTCACCCCTTATTTAACCATTTCAGATCAAGAGGATCTGGTTTCCGAGCCGATCCGCAAGAAGATTGCGAGTATATGCTAGATACTTTATATTTTTCTCATTTTTTGTGTTTCTTTCAGAGGATTCATTTTGTAATGTTTGTTTTAGTACTTTTAAATTATTGTGTAAGGGATGTAAACCTTAACCTTTTATTTCGCTTCAGCACTTAAATTATTATATATTTCCTTTTAAATTTTCAGAGTCGTTACAGTATATATATTTTTCTAGAGTATGTGGATATATTTTGAGAATTATAAATAATATTCGAGTGAAATTCAGAAATCTGATCAGAAACTGTGAGAATGGCAAAAATAAAAAATAAATTTTGTATTGAAACTATTCTTATTGCATTCGTCTCATATTGTATGTTTGCATGAAATCTTATCTGGTTTAAAAGAACAGAAATACTTATTGAGTTGGTGAAATTCATTAAATTTTACCCTTATATTTTTCAAAAGAGAAAGAAGAGCCGAAATAACTGCCAAATGAGTAAAACCTGTAAAAAAGTTCCGATTTATGTACATTTTGTTTATATTTTAGAAAATTTATTTTGTTTTGTTAAATTCTAAATTTTGACATCATGTTCTATATATATAACTACTGTATATATCATATGAGATGTTCAGTTGTATGATAATTTTGAACTATGCATATATAGATTTTGTGGGCCAATTGTATAAAAATGGCATGAATAGGAATTGCACATCATATCAAGTTTGAGGTGTTACAAATACATTGTTCTCTTTTATGAAGGTAAGTATTTCGGGTTTATAAGAAAAATATAGAGAGAAAGAGAGAA